TCTTGCTAATACCTTCAAAATTCCAGAGTGATGCATCCTCTAAGGACTTGCTTACCAGATATATACAACCAAGAGCCTGATGATGGAAATAATGACAACAGGGCTATTAATAAAGGACAGTGTCCAGCAAAGTCCGATGCCTGTTACAATACAGTGTTCATTGCCTCTTTCTTTTCTTTTACTTTAATAGCAGATAATTTGCACGTTGTCGTCATTTAACTACCAGAATTCCTTTTGTTTACTCTTTATTATTTAAATTTTGAAGCCCCAGTGGCGCTTAAATAACAATTACCCTAATTAGCATAAGAAACAGAAAAAGTGAAGGATTCTGGTAGTTGTAGTCAAATGACACCATCATGAAAATTACCTATTTGGTGCACTAAATTGATTTTCGTTTCTACACTGTTGATGAACTACTGAAACTTATTAAAAATAATGTCACATTTAATACAGTCTTTGTCTTTACATGCAATACACAGTCACACAAATTTCACAGGATCTCTAGCTAAACCCCACTAAAAAACAATGCTCTTTCTATCACTTAACATTAATTTTATAACATTACCCCTCTCCCAAGAAATGGCATGAAGAGAACCTAGGGTCTGAAATTAACTTTTTTAGGCAGGTACTGAAAGAAGTTTCTTGCTTGAAACCAAACACAAAGTTTTTCTTCCTTGAACGTCAGTTCAAGACACTAAAAGTTAGTTGCCTAATGGGGACTAGCCTCAAAATTCTGGTCACCAACACTCAATTTTTAGACACATTGGAGACCAGCTGGTTGCAATTTCGGACCCTGGAACCAATCATGATCAAGAATTTTGTTATAGATATGACTAGTACTAGTAATCGGACCAAGTGGAGCACAGTTCAGGGAGTAATTGTGCGAGGCCGATTTGAATTATGAGCACAGTTACTCCCTGAATTGTGCGACACAAGGTCCAATTACTAATTAATCGTATCTGTAACAAATTTCAGAATTAAAATGTCTTTTTAGAAATTCTTTTGAGTGGAAACTTCTGTAGAATTCTTCATAAGTTTTGAAAATGGAAACATTGTGAAGGAAGCCATTAAAGCATGCATAATTATTGATGTGCAAATTACATGGGTATCCAATTACAGGCATCCAATCACAAAAAGTTCAAATTGGATACCTGTAATTGGACACCCACATGATCGCGTGCTGATTATGTGGCAAATAGGTGTGCAGAGAACCAATCGCGATCGAGAATTTTGTCATAGATAGCATTTATACTGGAACAGTAGAAAATAATAAGCTGTACATGTATGATTAAACTGTTAAGATCAGTTACAGTTAGCTTAGTATGAAAGTTTATCTGGAATTTCCTACCGTATATTGCTCTTGTTTATGGTAATCTTGATCGAACCATGCTCGCACTTTGTCAAATTTTTCTTTCAGTTGAGACTGACCAAGGAAGACACTGAAATAGAAATGGCAGTTTAATCACATATTTTCAATGTCTTGCTTCATCATGAAAAGAAAGAGCAATTAAGCTGTACCAGCTCTGAGTATAAACATACACCTACCGCGTAAAGTCCTTCACATTTTCTAGTGATTCCTCACCCGATTCTTTTCCTCCACTTTCTTGAAAGTGCAGTGCCACAAACTTTGGTTTAAGTCTTGTTATTGTCTGCCGATAACAACCCCCAAAATGTCAATTAATGGAAATTCCAAAGACATTCGACTTACAGCTCAATCAGGCCGAGTGAGCTTTTTACACCTTTTATTTCCAGGTTGACCAATACTTACACCGACTGTTTCACGAATCCAGCCTTTCTCAAGACCATCTCGCTACAAATGAAACAGAAGAAAGAACTTAACATTTCAAAGCTGTCGATAATTGCCAACAAGGGAATACAAACCGAATGCCTCCTTTTGTAAACAAACTCGATAAAAAAGCAAAACAAAATACCTCGCTTTTCACACTTGTTTAAACAATAATCTTCGCATAAACTAGGCTCACAGAAAAAATCTCAGCGGTCAAGCCTGTGTTCTACCATGTTCTTCGCAAGAAAAAGTCAACGATCCGTTGACAAATCCTGTAGGAACTTGATGCCCCACATGTAACGACATCTTCTCCATTTCCGATGGGAAACTGTTTTCAATTTAGAAACCAGTAAATTTGGTACAAAAACTCACATTTTCAAAGACGGAACCAACATTTGCTGTTATGAGCAGAACCGGCACAGTGTGCTCTCCCATATTCATCTATCACTGAACATCTTTTGTATTCTTTGGCATTTTCATGCCTCGTCGAATTGGCTGGTAGAGGTTTGTATACGCTTCCTTTTCGTGCCTATGGGGTTTGTGGGATTGTACCTCCCACGAGGAAGAATCCGAGTAAGTCAAAAAAGTCGGCGTAGTTTTGAACTCGCTGAAATGAATAAGATTTCACTTGAATATAATTTCTTTACCACTGGATGCTTGCAATAAAAAGGATGAATGAAAAAATGCTCTATTATATGAAGCGAATACATGAAAAGAGCGACTGTTTTCCTTGTCAAAGCTCTCGTATAAAGTTCGGGAATTGTCGGACGAGATCGATTCGTCAATCAGCATCGAACGCCTGATTGGTTTTGCAAGTAAGTTGCCCGGTAAAGTTGTGTTTGAATTTTGTTTTACCGTACTTCATTACAGTCGCAAAGTATGATCTGAGAAGGTAAAAAGTTGCATGCAATTTTCTCAGGACTTGCTAAACGTTCGATATTGCTTATTGTTTTGTTAAGTTTTGGTGAATACAAAAATTGCTCAGCGTTCAGTTGCTGCGGAAGGTCATCGAGCTAATTTACGTCAAACGACGTGTTGGAGAACAATATCGTGATTTAAAAAACAATAGAGGGGCTATTATGATATGTTTTCTGAAGCCTGCGAATGACTAAAAAACTTTCTTCTGTGTCACACGCACATGTAGGACACACTATGGACGATCGGGAGTTCAAGAGACGGTCGGTTTCAAAACCACTCGCTAACCAAGACGAAGCAAATGACACAGGACATTGCAAAGATAATGGAAACACTCAAGCTTTGCCGTCCGATCGGGCAGTTTGGATAATTTTCTTTTCCTTGCTTGTCGACTTGCTGGCTTTCACGGTTATTCTGCCGCTGTTTCCATCTCTACTAGAGTTTTACGCCAACAACAAGCAGGTAAGCAAATGAAGGACAACTACAGCCTGACAGTCGACGTCTTGGAAACTGGTGATATACAATAAGGGAATATCAGTTTCGTGACTTCAAGCAGCTTTAAATTAGGAGCGAAATCTCAACTTCAGATATTGCCTGGTGTTATCTGTAGTGTCATGTTTTAAAATGGTCTGCTTAGATTTATAGCTGACTCTTTTAACAATACCACTCAGGTTAGTTTAAATGCTTTCTGTATGTATTTAAAGCTTAAATTATATGGATGTCATAATCAGACTATTCACCCCTCTCGTGCTGATCGCTGAAGATGCCTTTACTTCTGCCAGATTGTAAAATCATGTACCACATGTGATATGGGAGAGAAATGGAATGATGGTTTGATAGAGCAACGTATTTTCTTCTTTCTTTAAAAAGTGATTTTATTTGAAAACGTACGCAGCAGCTGTACTTTATAAAAAACAAACACTACTTTTTCCTGTTTGCATTGTGTGAAGCAAACAGTGATAATTTATTCATATGGTGATATATTAAAGTCCTGTCTTTATCTAAGTGGCATCCAAATTAAAATAAAATTACAAATCTTAATGAAGGAATATTTTCTGTAGACTGGGACTGGTTAATAAATTATACATGCAATATTGACATGACAAATTGCATTTAAGGAGGTTGGCAACAGTTTCCAGTACTTTTCCAACAGCTATTCTTTGAAGGAGGAATACTACCACTGTTTAACAAGTGATGCTACAACAATGGTATCACACAAATGCCCAATTATTAGTAAACAAGTTACGGTCATCCTTTTTATATAACAGGTTACCATAGCAACAATACAACCTATTAAAAACACCCTTAATGTTAAGTGTCTATAATTTAAAAATGAGCTTGGTGACCCCCATTTTTGATTATCAAAATGAGCATGATAAGAGGCAACTTTTTATAATGTTTAATTTAAAAAATTCTGTGGAGAAGGTTAAAAGCCACCTTGAAATTAAGAAAATTCAACTGTGTTTTAACGTCCTGAATTTTTCTCTTCAGGATAAGTTGTACCATTCAATCATGCAGCAAGTTGACACATTCAGGGAGTTGCTGGGAATGCCAGACAATGAACGTTTCAATGTTGTGTTATTTGGAGGTACATGTAGGACTACATACATATATATGGCACGAGATTCCTTAGTCTCAGTAATAATTATAATAGCAAAAAATACACAGCAATGGTTTTTAATTTAAAAAAATACACAGCAATGGTTTTAATATATATAAAAAAAAATGCACAGGAGTGGTTTTTGATTAAATTGAAGGTTACAGCTGTACATGCAAAAATTCAGGCACTTCTGAACAAACCAAAACTGACCTATGATTGGTATTACAGTGAGGGCACTCGAACCATGGACATGGCATTTTTTCATACCTTGTTTGGTGACTACATGTATTCAAATAGGGATCTTCATATTAACAAAAGGATTTATAATAAACTGTTTTTACATAGTAAAAATCCTTTAGTATCTTTTACATTATATCAAGAACCCTCATTCTTGAGTCACCCAAAAAATGCCAGGTGTACCGGTAATTCATGATTTTCGAGTGTCCTTATGCTGTAAAGCAGTAAATGCTTGTGGGGTCATGAATTACAGATGCGTACAGTACAGTACAGTACAGTGTTTTAATACCAGCCTTTCTAGCTATGAGCTCTGAAATAATGTGTGCTGTCAATTGATAAGAAAAGAAAACACCAACTATAATTATTGCTTCAAGAGTTGGGGAGTTTGCAGTGATACTATAGATAAATACAGTATATAAAGAGGAAGTCGGCGGTCGTAATGGCTTTTTGTGCAGGTCCTCTATCAAGATTGAATTGGAATTTGTGACTGCCATCTGGAGCTTTGTTATAACTTTAAAATGTAATTTTCTGGCTGCAGGTTTCATTGGGTCACTGTTTTC